CTGGGTCTTCCTTTCCTGTGGCGGTCCTCATGAGAGCCAGTTTCATCATAGCGCTTGATGGCTTTTGCGACTGCATTTTAAGGAACTTTCAAAGTTCTAGAAATGTTCCATATTGACTGACCTTCATGTCTTAAAGTAATGATGGACTGTAATTTCTCTTTACTTATTTGAGCTGTCCTTGCCATAATATGGACTTGGTCTTTTACCAAATAGGGCTATCTTCTGTATACCCCCCTGATTGGCTCAAACGCATTAAGAATGAAAGAAATTCCACAAATTAACTTTTTAAGAAGGCACACCTCTTAATTGAAATGCATTCCAGGTGACTACCTCATGAAGCTGGTTCAGAGAATGCCAAAAGTGTGCAAAGCTGTCATCAAGGCAAAGGGTGGCTACTTTGAGGAATCTCAAATGTAAAATATATTTTGATTTGTTTAATATTTTTTGGGTTCTTCCTTCATGATTCCATATGTGTTATTTCATAAAATAGTTTTGATGTCTTCACTATTATTCCACAATGTAGAAAATAGTACAAATAAAGAAAAACCCTGGAATGAGTAGGTGTGTCCAAACTTTTGACTGGTAGTGTAGTTCAAACAGGCAGCTGTATTTTAAATCACATTATGCTCTGTCCTTGTTTCATACCACTGGGTTACCAATATGTTCTATTTGTAGATATATTTTAAATCATATTATGCTCTGTCCTTGTTTAACTCTGATTAGGGGAGGAGAGGAGTAGGAGGAGGAGAGGAGTAGGGGATGACTAGGGGAGTAGTAGAGGAGGAGGAGTAGGAGAGGGGAGGAGGAGGGGAGTAGGGGAGGAGTAGGAGGAGGAGGGGAGGAGGAGGGGAGGAGGGGAGGAGAGGAGGAGAGGAGGAGTAGGGGAGGAGAGGGAGGGTAGGGGATGACTAGGGAGTAGTAGAGGAGGAGGAGTAGGAGAGGGGGAGGAGTAGGGGAGTAGGGGAGGGGAGGAGTAGGGGAGTAGTAGAGGGGAGGGGGGGAAAGGGGGGAGGAGGGGGAGGGGGGGGAGGAGAGGGGAGGGGAGGAGGGGAGGAGAGGAGGGTAGGGGGGGAGAGGAGTAGGGGAGGAGGGGGTAGGAGAGGGAAGGAGAGGAGGGGGGTAGAGGAGGAGAGGGTGGGGGGAGGAGGGTAGTAGGGGAGGGGAGAGGAGTAGGGGAGGAGGAGGAGTAGGGGGGAGGAGGAGGGGGAAAGAAGGGGGAGGGGGGAGGGGGGGGGTAGGAGAGGAGTAGGGGAGGAGTAGGGGTAGGAGAGGGTAGGGGAGGAGTAGAGGAGGAGAGGAGAGAGGGGGAGGAGGTAGGGGAGGAGTAGGGTAGTGGAGGGAGGGGTAGGGGGAGGAGGGGAGGAGTAGGGGAGTAGGGGAGGAGGAGAGGAGGAGGAGAGGAGTAGGGGAGGAGTAGGGGAGTAGGGGAGGAGGAGAGGAGGAGGAGAGGAGTAGGGGAGGAGTAGTGGAGGAGAGGAGTAGGGGAGGAGGGGAGGAGTAGGGGAGTAGGGGAGGAGGAGAGGAGTAGGGGAGGAGAGGAGTAGGGGAGGAGTAGTGGAGGAGAGGAGTAGGGGAGAAGAGGAGTAGGAGGAGTAGTGGAGGAGAGGAGTAGGGGAGAAGAGGAGTAGGAGAGGAAAGGAGTTGAAGTGAGGGTTGTACAAAGCTTGTCCTTGTCCTGAGTGGTCCAATAACATTCTAATTCCATCCTCCTGAGAACCAGACATTCTCTATTAGATTAAAGGTCCACAGCAGATGAGAGACTAGGTGTGTGTGTTACATTATGGGTCTACAGAAGACGAGACATTAGGTGATGGATTAAGGAACCTAATTGGAACATTGAAACTCATCATGAAGTGAATCACTCCCTGTACTGAACAGAAATATACTTATTCTATTCACCATGCAGTTAAAGTGGTGTTTTAATGCATTGTAACATTGTAACACTCTGAGACATTTGAAACCATATCAGGCCAAGGGATGTGGTCAAGTTACGAATGGACGCCACACTTTCCTATTTTAAGGAAACATACTTTAAGTTTCTGAGAGTGGTTAGAACTAGATCATCTAGATGTGATAGGGCGGCAGGTAGCTTAGTGGTTAAGAGCGTTGTGCCAGTAACCGAAAGGTCGCTGGTTCTAATCCCCGAGCCGACTAGGTGAAAAATCTGTCGATGTGCCCTTAAGCACTTAACCCTGGATAAGAGCGTCTGCTAAATGACTGAAATGAAATGTAAATGAAATGATAACTGTGGTCAGAACTAGATCATCTAGATGGTCCCTGGCAAATAAATAATAAATAAATGTCACTCTCAGGTCCTAGAACACATTTTGTTGTGAGGTTTCAGTGAAGGCTAATGGTGTTGCTGGGGTCATTAGGAGTTGGACTGCCCAGCTTGGATGGAATGGAACCATGACCACTGATCATCTGTCCCCAGGAGCCATGATGGTGTGCACGTGCATTCGTGTGTGTTTGTGTGTATGACATGTGTGTATAGAGTATGTTATTATGACCTGTGTGTGTGAAAAATGTATGCACTCACTAACTGTAAGTCGCTCTGGATAAGATCGTCTGCTAAATGACTAAAATGTCAATGTAAAATGTGTGTGTGTGTGTGTGTGTGTGTGTGTGTATATGACCTGTGTATGTATGTGAACATCATGGCCTTTAGTTAGTTGTGTTGTCTGTCTGCCCGTGTTACTGTAAGGCTGTAGAAGGAAGACCTGGGTTCAAATACTAGTTGACATCATTACAAATACTTAAGCTGTGCTTGATTGAACTTGTCTGGCAGAATGGAACCAATTGAACTGATGCAAAAGTGAAAACCCCGCCCACCTGGCACTCCAGACAGGCTGAAGCAAACGCATAAAGATTTCAAATACTATGCGAACCCAGGTCTGCTGTAGAGGAAAGACAAAATCTCAGGCCGGAGTTGGAAATAGAAATCTGGCATGAGGCCAGAACCAGGAAGGAACATGACCACATGACCCCTCTCACTCACTCTCTTATTGGAAGAGGAGAGGAGAGAGGGAAGAAGAGAGGGGGAGGAGGAGGAGAGAGGAGAGGACGAGATGAGAGAGTGAGAGGAGGAGTAGAGTGAGAGGAGGAGGAGGAGAGGAGAGAGTGAGAGGAGGAGGAGGAGGAGAGAGGGAGGGAGAGGAGAGAGTGGGAGAAGAGGAAAGGAGAGAGTGAGAGGATGAGGAGAGAGTGAGAGGAGGAGGAGAGGAGAGAGTGGAAGGATGCAGTCTCCGCAACAACGCCTTTACATTTCAATCACTTAAGAACTGAACTTCCGCAATACGCATCCAGTCCCCCGTCAACTTCCAAGAACTCCCACTCTCACATTTAATTGACCACTTTTATCTAACATATGCTTGGAATGAAACCCCAGTTGATAATAAGACTGTTATGGAGTACAGTATAGGGCAGAATGAGCTCACCGAATGAGGAATGACCACTATGACTAATGGAGAGCAGTGGGGGGGGGGTGTAGTCCATGGTTGGCTACACAAGGTCACTCCTTGCCTGAGGCATCCCTGCCTCTACAGGGGACGGGGTCTCCAGCCAGTGGTTAGCATAGTGGACATTAGATTGCGACGTTAGTGTGATGCACAGGCCTCCAGCCAGCCGGTCAGCTCAGGGGTCCCATCCATTCCTAAATGGGCTCAATTACTTCCATTGTTACGAGGACTCCCGCCTTTCCCAGGCTAGTTAAGATAGCTCATCCTCTCTGTCTGTCTCTCTCTCTGTCTCTGTCTCTGTCTCTGTCTCTGTCTCTGTCTCTGTCTCTGTCTCTCTCTGTCTCTGTCTGTCTCTGTCTCTGTCTCTGTCTCTCTCTCTCTCTGTCTCTCTCTCTCTCGCTGTCTCTCTCTCTCTCTGTCTGTCTCTCTCTCTCTCTCTCTCTCTCTCTCTCTCTCTCTCTCTCTCTCTCTCTCTCTCTCTCTCTCTCTCTCTCTCTCTGTCTCTGTCTCTGTCTCCACAAAAAGCTATTTAAAAGCCTCTGCTCCATAGTGAAGGGCGCTGGGCCCACTAAAATGGGTAGATATATTGATTGAGTGGGGAGAGGGGAGGTGGGGGGGAGGGAGGAGTAGAATGGTTTCTGCTTCTGAAACAGGTCTGTCCTACTGAGTGTAAAACAACATGAGAACTGAATATAGGAAAAAGGCTTTAGAGAAAAATACACAGCTTAGCTTCCATTTCAGTTACAAAACCTGTTTCATCCTTGTTCCTGATGGAGGGAATAGCCATCATGGGGGTGTGTGTGACCTCTGCCTGCTCCCCTACAAAGGCAGAGGGATTCTCTCTGTCTCCTCTCTGTTCTACACATACCCTGAGACTGATAGCTCTTGGTCATTGATTATGTCTAGAGGGCCCACTGAGAGCCACAGTACTGAATACAAGCCTACATGGATGTTACTGCTTCAGCCCCCTTCCCTTTGACTTCACCAGGAAGCATGGAGACCTGAACTGGGCTGTCTGGGGGTTTTGTTGTGAAAAGATGAAAAGGATTACTACAACATGTCCGTCAACTATTGGAAAAGAACATGTAATGGGTTGGAGGTGTTTAGTTTCGTTCTAAAGCTATGGAATCTCATAGGGTGAGTCAAATAGAGAGAAGTGAATGTTGAGAGTCGTTGCCCCCCCCCTCTAATGGCTGAGAATTCCATGAGATAGAAACCAAAAGAGAGAAGGAATCCGAGAGATCACTAGCCGACCCAGCCTCCGCTACAAGCCGCGCGACACCTCTCCAGACCACACCCCAGCCACCCAGACACTTCCGCCGCGACACTGCTACATACCCCTACCGCTACTCTCTCCCCCATCCTCATCGACCTCTCCTCCTCTCCTCTCCTCTCCTCTCCTCTCTACCACTCTCCTCCTTCTCCCTCTCCCTCTCCCTACCCCTCTCCTCTCCTCCCTCCCCCTCCCCTACAAATGCTGGATCCTCAACAATAATAATACTTAGCCAAATCAACTAGCTGTGGAATTTGACATCATCAGATATTGTAATATCCCCCCCCCCCCCTCCTCTCCACTCCCTGACAGACGGCCGGTCCTCTACAGTCCATATGGGTCGTTCCCTGGCAGTAGACCTGTCCAGTTCCCTGACCCCTCTGACCAGAGAGCGTAAGTCGTCCTGCCCCAGTCCACTCTTCCCAGCCCGTCCTGTTCACCTTCGACGTCCCGGTCCGCCACGGCGGGTCGCACAGTCAACACGGTAACCACGGTTTTGATTCGATTTGATTTAAAATAACATTTAAACACACAATTCAACCACACGTGGACACGATGCATTTAAAATCACTGAGGGATAATAAAAAATAAAAATAAAAAGTTGAGAAGTGATTTTCCATTGTGGTCCTCTTGTTGCAGGGTAACCACGACAACCACGGTGGCTCCCTGTCCAACAGCGCTCCGCAGGACTACCTTCTACTACATCAGTGCATGAGCAGGAAGACTGAGAGCGCACGGTAAAGGTGGTCAGGGTTGCAACCTCTTTTGTGTGTGTGTGTGTGTGTGTGTGGTGTGTGTGTGTGTGTGTGTGCGTGTGTGTGTGTGTCATGGTGCCTGTGTTACGTTATGGGTGTATGTGTACTTCCTGGTGTATGCTGGCCCTGTCTGTGTTGTGACGTGTGTTGACATAAGGACTTCCGTCCTTAATGTTACCTGTGGCAACAGTGTTACGTACCAGCTCGTTCACTTACTGTGTTGTGGACACCAATAGGTGAACCACTACTGCATGCCATATACGTCGTTGAGATAAGGATAGCCATGAAGTGGTTATTTTGTGGTATTTCTTGTGACACTTATGAGCGCACCCGCTCACTCAGCTACCAGCTACTTCGGCCACAACTTACGGGACATCCATCGGCCACCACTACGAGTACTGAGCAAATAAGAAATCCAGTAGCCACAAACAGATCCCACTTGGGCATATCTAAAACATCCACTCAGAAAACGCACAGAACATCCCACTCAGCTACAGAAAAATCCCACTCAGCCACAACTACAGAACATCCCACTCAGCCACAACTACAGAACATCCCACTCAGCCACAACTACAGAACATCCCACTCAGCCACAACTACAGAACATCCCACTCAGCCCTACAGAACACATCCCACTCAGCCACAACTACAGAACATCCCACTCAGCTACAGAACATCCCACTCAGCCACAACTACAGAACATCCCACTCAGCCCCACAGAACATCCCACTCAGCCACAAACTACAGAACATCCCACTCAGCCACAACTACAGAACATCCCACTCAGCTACAGAACATCCCACTCAGCCACAAGTACAGATCTCCCACTCAGCTACAGAACTCCCACTCAGCCACAACTACAGAAATTCCCACTCAGCCTACAGAAAACATCCCACTCAGCCAAACTACAGAACATCCCACTCAGCCACAACTACAGAACATCCCACTCAGCTACAGAACATCCCACTCAGCCACAACTACAGATCATCCCACTCAGCTACAGAACATCCCACTCAGCCACAACTACAGATCGTCCCACTCAGCCACAACTACAGAACATCCCACTCAGCTACAGAACATCCCACTCAGCCACAACTACAGAACGTCCCACTCAGCCTCAACTACAGAACATCCCACTCAGCCACAACTACAGAACATCCCACTCAGCTACAGAACATCCCACTCAGCCACAACTACAGAACATCCCACTCAGCCACAACTACAGAACGTCCCACTCAGCTACAGAACATCCCACTCAGCCACAACTACAGAACATCCCACTCAGCTACAGAACATCCCACTCAGCCACAACTACAGAACATCCCACTCAGCTACAGAACATCCCACTCAGCCACAACTACAGAACATCCCACTCAGCTACAGAACATCCCACTCAGCCACAACTACAGAACATCCCACTGAGCCACAACTACAGAACATCCCACTCAGCTACAGAACATCCCACTTCAGCCACAACTACAGATCATCCCACTCAGCTACAGAACATCCCACTCAGCCACAACTACAGAACATCCCACTCAGCCACAACTACAGAACATCCCACTCAGCTACAGAACATCCCTCTCAGCCACAACTACAGAACGTCCCACTCAGCCACAACTACAGAACATCCCACTCAGCCACAACTACAGAACATCCCACTCAGCCACAACTACAGAACATCCCACTCAGCTACAGAACATCCCACTCAGCCACAACTACAGAACATCCCACTCAGCTACAGAACATCCCACTCAGCCACAACTACAGAACATCCCCACTCAGCCACACTACAGAAACATCCCACTTCAGCTACAGAACATCCCACTCAGCCACAATACAGATCATCCCACTCAGCTACAGAACATCCCACCAGCCACAACTACAGAACATCCCACTCAGCCCAAACTACAGAAAATCCCACTCAGCTACAGAACATCCCACTCAGCCACAACTACAGAACGTCCCACTCAGCCTCAACTACAGAACATCCCCACTCAGCCACAACAACAGAAACATCCCACTCAGCTACAGAACATCCCCACTCAGCCCACAACTACAGAACATCCCACTCAGCCCACAAACTACAGAACGTCCCACTCAGCTACAGAACATCCCACTCAGCCACAACTACAGAACATCCCACTCAGCTACAGAACAACATCCCATTCAGCACAACTACAGAACATCCCACTCAGTACAGAACATCCCACTCAGCCACAACTTACAGAATATCCCACTCAGCTACAGAACATCCCCACTCAGCCACAACTACAGAACATCCCAACTGAGCACAACTACAGAACATCCCACTCAGCTACAGAACATCCCACTCAGCCACAACTACAGATCATCCCACTAGCTACAGAACATCCCACTCAGCCACAACTACAGAACATCCCACTCAGCCACAACTACAGAACATCCCACTCAGCTACAGAACATCCCTCTCAGCCACAACTACAGAACGTCCCACTCAGCCACAACTACAGAACATCCCACTCAGCCACAACTACAGAAACATTCCCACTCAGCTACAGAAACATCCCACTCAGCCACAACTACAGAACATCCCACTCAGCCACAACTACAGAACGTCCCACTCAGCTACAGAACATCCCACTCAGCCACAACTACAGAACATCCCACTCAGCCACAACTACAGAACATCCCACTCAGCTACAACTACAGAACATCCACCACTCAGCTACAGAACATCCCACTCAGCCACAACTACAGATCATCCCACTAGTAACAGAACATCCCACTCAGCCACAAACTACAGAACATCCCCACTCAGCCACAACTACAGAACATCCCACTCAGCTACAGAACATCCCTCTCAGCCACAACTACAGAACGTCCCACTCAGCCACAACTACAGAACATCCCACTCAGCCACAACTACAGAACATCCCACTCAGCTACAGAACATCCCACTCAGCCACAACTACAGAACATCCCACTCAGCCACAACTACAGAACGTCCCACTCAGCTACAGAACATCCCACTCAGCCACAACTACAGAACATCCCACTCAGCCACAACTACAGAACATCCCACTCAGCTACAACTACAGAACATCCCACTCAGCTACAGAACATCTCACTCAGCCACAACTACAGAACATCCCACTCAGCCACAACTACAGAACATCCCCACTCAGCTACAGAACATCCCACTCAGCCACAACTACAGAACATCCCACTCAGCCACAACTACAGAACGTCCCACTCAGCCACAACTATAGAACATCCCACTCAGCCACAACTACAGAACATCCCACTCAGCCACAACTACAGAAGGTCCCACTCAGCTATAGAACATCCCACTCAGCCACAACTACAGAACATCCCACTGAGCCACAACTACAGAACATCCCACTCAGCTACAGAACATCCCACTCAGCCACAACTACAGATCATCCCACTCAGCTACAGAACATCTCACTCAGCCACAACTACAGAACATCCCACTCAGCCACAACTACAGAACATCCCACTCAGCTACAGAACATCCCACTCAGCCACAACTACAGAGCATCCCACTCAGCTACAGAACATCCCACTCAGCCACAACTACAGATCGTCCCACTCAGCTACAGAACATCCCACTCAGCCACAACTACAGAACATCCCACTCAGCTACAGAACATCCCACTCAGCCACAACTACATATCATCCCACCCAGCTACAGAACATCCCACTCAGCCACAACTACAGAACATCCCACTCAGCCACAACTACAGAACATCCCACTCAGCCACAACTACAGAACATCCCACTCAGCTACAGAACATCCCACTCAGCCACAACTACAGATCGTCCCACGCAGCTACAGGAACATCCCACTCAACCCACAACTACAGAACATCCCACTCAGCCACAAGTACCAGATCGTCCCACTCGTTATAGAACATCCCACTCAGCCACAACTACAGAACATCCCACTCAGCTACAGAAACATCCCACTCAGCCACAACTACAGAACATCCCACTCAGCTACAGAACATCCCACTCAGCCACAATACAGAAACACCCCCACTCAGCTACAGAAACATCCCACTCAGCCACAACTACAGAACATCCCACTCAGCCACAACTACAGAAACATCCCACTCAGCCACAACTACAGAACACCCCACTCAGCTACAGAAACATCCCACTCAGCCACAAACTACAGAACATCCCACTCAGCCACAACTACCAGAACGTCCCACCAGCCCACAACTATAGAACATCCCACTCAGCCACAACTACAGAAGGTCCCACTCAGCTATGAACATCCCACTCAGCCACAACTACAGAAACATCCCACTGCAGACACCAACTACAGAACATCCCACTCAGCTACAGAACAGCCCACTCAGCCACAACTACAGAGCATCCCACTCAGCTACAGAACATCCCACTCAGCCACAACTACAGATCGTCCCACTCAGCTACAGAACATCCCACTCAGCCACAACTACAGAACATCCCACTCAGCTACAGAACATCCCACTCAGCCACAACTACATATCATCCCACCCAGCTACAGAACATCCCACTCAGCCACAACTACAGAACATCCCACTCAGCCACAACTACAGAACATCCCACTCAGCCACAACTACAGAACATCCCACTCAGCTACAGAACATCCCACTCAGCCACAACTACAGATCGTCCCACGCAGCTACAGAACATCCCACTCAGCCACAACTACAGAACATCCCACTCAGCCACAAGTACAGATCGTCCCACTCCGTTATAGAACATCCCACTCAGCCACAACTACAGAACATCCCACTCAGCTACAGAACATCCCACTCAGCCACAACTACAGAACATCCCACTCAGCTACAGAACATCCCACTCAGCCACAACTACAGAACGTCCCACTCAGCCACAGCTAGACACCTACTCACCATCTACACATCAGTCTACCTGCATGGTGTGGGAAGCTCTGCTTAAAGCAGGAAACCATCTACACATCAGTCTACCTGCATGGTGTGGGAAGCTCTGCTTAAAGCAGGAAACCATCTACACATCAGTCTACCTGCATGGTGTGGGAAGCTCTGCTTCAAGCAGGAAACCATCTACACGTCAGTCTATTTGCATGGTGTGGGAAGCTCTGCTTAAAGCAGGAAAACCATCTACACATCAGTCTACCTGCATGTGTGGGAAGCTCTGCTAAGCAGGAAACCATCTACACGTCAGTTCTACTGCATGGTGTGGGAAGCTCTGCTTAAAGCAGGAAACCATCTACACAGTCAGTCTACCTGCATGGTGTGGGAAGCTCTGCTTCAAAGCAGGAAACCATCTACACATCAGTCTACCTGCATGGTGTGGGAAGCTCTGCTTCAAGCAGGAAACCATCTACACGTCAGTCTATTTGCATGGTGTGGGAAGCTCTGCTTAAAGCAGGAAACCATCTACACATCAGTCTACCTGCATGGTGTGGGAAGCTCTGCTTAAAGCAGGAGGAAACCATCTACACGTCAGTCTACCTGCATGGTGTGGGAAGCTCTGCTTAAAGCAGGAAACCATCTACACGTCAGTCTACCTGCATGGTGTGGGAAGCTCTGCTTAAAGCAGGAAACCATCTACACGTCAGTCTACCTGCATGGTGTGGGAAGCTCTGCTTAAAGCAGGAAACCATCTACACGTCAGTCTACCTGCATGGTGTGGGAAGCTCTGCTTAAAGCAGGAAACCATCTACACGTCAGTCTACTTGCATGGTGTGGGAAGCTCTGCTTAAAGCAGGAAACCATTTACACGTCAGTCTACCTGCATGGTGTGGGATCCTTCTGATCCATTTGTTATTTCTGTCGTTCCTTCTGATCCATCTCTGACTAAGACAGGCAATCCTATTTCTTATATAGTACACTACTTTTGTCCAGGGTCCATAAGGCTCTGGACAAAAGTAGTGTACTAGATAAGGAATATGTTGCCATTTGGGACACAAACAGGGATTCATGAAACACATGTCCTATATATATATATACACACCGACGCCTCGCTTCCAGACAAGCTAAACACCTTCTTCGCCCTGCTTTGAGGATAACACAATGCCACTGACGAGGCCCACTACCAAGGACTGTGGCCTCTCCTTCTCCGTGGCCGACGTGATTAAGACATTTAAGCATGTTAACCCCCGCAAGGCTGCCGGCCCAGACGGCATCCCTAGCCGCGTCCTCAGAGCATGCGTAGACCATCTGGCTGGTGTGTTTATGGACATTCAATCTCTCCCTTTCCCAGTCTGCTGTCCCCACATGCTTCAAGATGGCCACCATTGTTCCTGTACCCAAGAAAGCAAAGGTAACTGAACTAAATGACTATCGCCCCATAGCACTCACCTCTGTCATCATGAAGTGCTTTGAGAGACTAGTCAAGGATCATATCACCTCTACCTTACCTGTCACCCTAGACCCACTTCAATTTGCTTACCGCCCCAATAGATCCACAGACGATGCAATCGCCATCACACTGCACACTGTCCTATCCCATCTGGACAAGAGGAATACCTATGTAAGAATGCTGTTCATTGACTATAGCTCAGCATTCAACACCATAGTACCCTCCAAGCTCATCATTAAGCTCCAGGCCCTGGGTCTGAACCCCGCCCTGTGCAACTGGGTCCTGGACTTCCTGACGGGCCGCCCCCAGGTGGTGAAGGTAGGAAACAACACCTCCACTTCGCTGATCCTCAACACTGGGGCCCCACAAGGGTGCCTGTACTCCCTGTTCACCCATGACTGCGTGGCCAAGCACGCCTCCAACTCCATCATCAAGTTTGCAGACGACACAACAGTAGTAGGCTTGATTACCAACAATGACGAGACCGCCTACAGGGAGGAGGCGAGGGCTCAGGGAGTGTGATGCCAGGAAAATCAACCTCTCACTCAACATCAACAAAACAAAGGAGATGATCGTGGACTTCAGGAAACAGCAGAGGGTGCACCCCCCTATCCACATCGACGGGACCGCAGTGGAGAAGGTGGAAAGCTTCAAGTTCCTTGGCATACACATCACCGACAAACTGAAATGGTCCACCCACGCAGACAGTGTGGTGAAGAAGGCGCAACAGAGCCTCTTCAATCTCAGGAGGCTGAAGAAATTTGACCTGTCACCTAAAACCCTCACAAACTTTTACAGATGCACCATTGAGAGCATCCTGTCGGGCTGTATCACCGCCTGGTACGGCAACTGCACCGTCCGCTACCGTAGGGCTCTCCAGAGGGTGGTGCGGTCTGCCGAATGCATTACCGGGGGCAAACTACCCGCCCTCCAAGACACATACAGCACCCGATGTCACAGGAAGGCCAAAAAGATCATCAAAGACATCAACCACCCGAGCCACTGCCTGTTCACCCCGCTATCATCCAGAAGGCGAGGTCAGTACATGTGCATCAAAGCTGGGACCGAGAGACTGAAAAACAGCTTCTATCTCAAGGCCATCAGACTGTTAAACAGCCATCACTAGCACATTAGAGGCTGCTGCTGCCTATTGAAATCACTGGCCACTTTAAGAAATGGAACACTAGTCACTTTAATAATGTTTACATATCTTGCACTACTCATCTCATATGTATATACTGTATTCTATTCTATAATATTCTACTGTATCTTAGTCCATGCTGCTCTGTCATTGATTGTCCATATCCGTATATATTCTTAAATTCCATTCCTTACTAGATTTGTGTGTTTTGGGTATATGTTGTGACATTGTTAGATATTACTGGTTAGATATTACTGCACTGTCAGAGCTAGAAGAACAAGCATTTCACTACACCCACAATAACATCTGCTAAACACGTGTATGTGACAAATAAAATTTGATTTGATTTGATTAAGATTTTCGGTTTAGACAATCTGATCCTAGATCTGTGAGTTGGGGCAACTTCTACCTGGAGCATGGTTGCTCCAGCCCAGTCAGTCTGCAACTACATATCAATATATAGTTAAATATAATATCATATTAATAGAGTCGTTTCAGAGCTACCTCCTAAAAACTGTGTTATCCTAAACAACACTTCATTTGTCTGTGTTCATTTGTCAGAAGGAACTGTACTGCCCCCTAGTGGCGGATCGGGTAACTGCAGTGATATTCCAGATTAGCAGGGGAGTCATTTGGCCCCTAGTGGCGGATCGGGTAACTGCAGGGATATTCCAGATTAGCAGGGGAGTCATTTGGCCCCTAGTGGCGGATCGGGTAACTGCAGGGATATTCCAGATTAGCAGGGGAGTCATTTGGCCCCTAGTGGCGGATCGGGTAACTGCAGGGATATTCCAGATTAGCAGGGGAGTCATTTGGCCCCTAGACGCTGATCTTGTTTCAGTTTTGCATTTCCCCCACTAATGGTTAAGGGGAAGATTATCTGTATCTAGGGGAAACTTCACCCCGGAGCGAGTAATGTGGTGTCACCCAGTTTTGTGCCATATGTGACTGAGAGCTGCTGGCAGAGATTGGCATGGCAGATGTCATCCTGTCTGTTAGAAGTCATGTTTTGCCTGGTGGAGGATGGGTGGACACAATGAATGACTGACAAGTGTGTGTGTGTGTCTGTCTTTCTGTCCCCTCCATATGTCTGTCTGTCTGTCTCCTCCAGGAGTGCCAGTTTATCCCAGGTACAGCACAGTAGTAATCTGTTTGTGGGCAGTGACTCAGCCGTGCAGAAGATCTCCCATGGCTTCTCCCACTGTCTGAACGGAATGGGTGCCCACCTGCATGGCTTCTACAGCCTGCCCAAGCCTGGCAAGCACCAACAGGCCTCCACGTCCGGCTCCTCCACGCGGCCAGACTCCCCCCAGGAGGCCTGCTACGTGCTGCCCAGGGGGTACAGCTCTGAGGGGCCTACCCTGGGTCATAGCCTCCTGGGGCTGGGAGATCTGGATGACCAGGAGAATGAGGAGGTTGGTGCTCTTTTAACCTGTGGTTTAATTATGTTATGTTACACATCCTTTGATTTATATGTTATTCTCTCCATCTCTCTCTCTATTCTCTCTCTCTTCTCTCTCTCTCTTCTCTCTTTCTATCTCTCTCTCCCCTCTCTCTCTCTCTCTCTCTCTCTCTCGCCCTCTCCTTCTCCTCTCTCTCTCTTCTCTCTCGCTCTCCTCTCTCTCTTCTTCTCTCTCTCTCTCTACTCTCTCTCTCTCTCTCTCCTATCTCTCTCCACATCTCTCTCTCACATCTCTCTCTCTCTCTCTCTCTCTCTCTCTCTCTCTCTCTCTCTCCATCTCTCTCTCTCTATCCATCTCTTTCTCTCAATTTCAATTCAATTCAAGGGGTTTTATTGGCATGGGAAACATATGTTAATGTTGCCAAAGCAAGTGAAATAAATTAGATAATAAACAAAAGTGAAATAAACAATATAAAATGAACAGTAAACATTACACTCACAAAAGTTCCAAAAGAATAAAGACATTTCAAATGTCATATTATGTATACAGTTGAAGTCGGAAGTTTACATACACTTAGGTTGGAGTCATTAAAACTAGTTTTTTAACCACTCCACACATTTCTTGTTAACAAACTATAGTTTTGGCAAATCGGTTAGGACATCTACTTGTGCATGACACAAGTAATTTTTCCAACAATTGTTTACAGACAGATTATTTCACTTATAATTCACTGTATCACAATTCCAGTGGGTCAGAAGTTTACATACACTAAGTTGACTGTGCCTTTAAGCAGCTTGGAAAATTCCAGAAAATGATGTCATAGCTTTAGAAGCTTCTGATAGGCTAATTGACATCATTTGAGTCAATTGGAGGTGTACCTGTGGATGTATTTCAAGGCCTACTTTCAAACTCAGTGCCTCTTTGCTTGACATCATGGGAAAATCAAAAGAAATCAGCAAAACAATTGTAGACCTCCACAAGTCTGGTTCATCCTTGGGAGCAATTTCCAAACGGTACCACGTTCATCTGTACAAACAATAGTACGCAAGTATAAACACCATGGGACCACGCAGCCGTCATACCGCTCAGGAAGGAGACGCGTTCTGTCTCCTAGAGATGAACGTACTTTGGTTCGAAAAGTGCAAATAAATCCCAGAACAACAGCAAAGGACCTTGTGAAGATGCTGGTGGAAACAGTTACAAAGTATCTATATCCACAGTAAAACGAGTCCTATATCGACATAACCTGAAAGGCCGCTCAGCAAGGAAGAAGCCACTGCCCCAAAACCGCCATAAAAAAGCCAGACTACGGTTTGCAACTGCACATGGGGACAAAGATCGTACTTTTTGGAGAAATGTCCTCTGGTCTGATGAAACAAAAATAGAACTGTTTTGTCATGACCATCGTTATGTTTGGAGGAAAAGGGGGTTGCTTGCAAGCCGAAGAACACCATCCCAACCGTGAAGTACTTGTCATCTCCCGTCTGGATTACTGCAACTCGCTGTTGGCTGGCCTCCCTGCCTGTGCCATTAAACCCCTACAACTCATCCAGAACGCCGCAGCCCGTCTGGTGTTCAACCTTCCCAAGTTCTCTCACGTCACCCCCCTCCTCCGCACACTCCACTGGCTTCCAGTTGAAGCTCGCATCCGTTACAAGACCATGGTGCTTGCCTATGGAGCAGTGAGGGGAACGGCACCTCTGTACCTTCGGGCTCTGATCAGTCCCTACACCCAAACGAGGGCATTGCGTTCATCCACCTCTGGCCTGCTGGCTCCCCTTCCTCTGCGGAAGCATAGTTCCCGCTCAGCCCAGTCAAAACTGTTCGCTGCTCTGGCACCCCAATGGTGGAACAAGCTCCACCACGACGCCAGGACAGCGGAGTCACTCGCCACCTTCCGGAGACATTTGAAACCCCACCTCTTTAAGGAATACCTGGGATAGGATAAAGTAATCCTTCTACCCCCCCCCAAAAAAATTGTAAAGTGGTTATCCCACTGGCTATAGGGTGAATGCACCAATTTGTGAGTCGCTCTGGATAAGAGCGTCTGCTAAATGACGTAAATGTGCCCTTGAGCAAGGCACTTAACCCTAATTGCTCCTGTAAGTCGCTCTGGATAAGAGCGTCTGCTAAATGACTAAAATGTAAATGTAAAAAGTACGGGGGTGGCAGCATCATTCTGTGGGGGTGCTTTGCTGCAGGAGGGACTGGTGCACTTCACAAAATAGATGGCATCATGAGGAAGGAAAATTATGTGGATATATTGAAGCAACATCTCAAGACATCAGTCAGGAAGTTTAAGCTTGGTCGCAAATGGGTCTTCCAAATGGACAATGACCCCAAGCATACTTCCAAAGTTGTGGCAAAATGGCTTAAGGACAACAAAGTCAAGGTATTGGAGTGGCCATCACAAAGCCCTGACCTCAATCCTATAGAAAATGTGTGGGCAGAACTGAAAAAGCATGTGCGAGCAAGGAGGCCTACAAACCTGACTCAGTTACACCAGCTCTGTCAGGAGGAATGGGCCAAAATTCACCCAACTTATTGTGGGAAGCTTGTGGAAGGCTACCCGAAACGTTTGACCCAAGTTAAACAATTGAAAGGCAATGCTACCAAATACTAATTGAGTGTATGCAAACTTCTAACCCACTGGGAATGTGATTAAATAAATAAAAGCTGAAATAAATCATTCTCTCTACTATTATTCTGACATTTCACATTCTTAAAATAAAGTGGTGATCCTAACTGACCTAAGACAGGGAATTTTTACTAGGATTAAATGTCAGGAATTGTGAAAAACTGAGTTTAAATGTATTTGGCTGAGGTGTATGTAAACTTCCGACTTCAACTGTATATACAGTGTTGTAACAATGTGCAAATAGTTAAAGTACAAAATGGAAAATAAATCAGCATAAATATGGGTTGTATTTACAATGGTGTTTGTTCTTCACTGGTTGCCCTTTTCTTGTGGCAACAGGTCACAAATCTTGCTGCTGTGATGGCACACTGTGGTATTTCACCCAGTAGATAAGGGAGTTTATCAAAATTGGATTTGTTTTCAAATTATTTGTGGGTCTGTGTAATCTGAGGAAAAATATGTGTCTCTAATATGGTCATACATTTGGCAGGAGGTTAGGAAGTGCAGCTCAGTTTCCACCTCATTTTGTGGGCAGTGTGCACATAGCCTGTCTTCTCTTGAGAGCCAGGTCTGCCTACGGCGGCCTTTCTCAATAGCAAGGCTATGCTCACTGAGTCTGTACATAGTCAAACCTTTCCTTAATTTTGGGTCAGTCACAGTGGTCAGGTATTCTGCCACTGTGTACTCTCTGTTTAGGGCCAAATAGCATTCTAGTTTGCGCTGTTTTTCTGTTAATTCTTTCCAATGTGTCAAGTAATTGTCTTTGTTTTCTCATGGTTTGGTTGGGTCTAATTGTGTTGCTGTCCTGGGGCTCTGTGTCGCTCTCTCTCTCTCAATATCCATCTCTCTCTCTCATTTATTTTATTCCCTTTTGTTTGTTTGATATATTTTGTTGCATTGTTTTTACTCAAAAGTCACTTTAAAGTATCTTTCAGTGTGATTTCAAAAGCATTTTAACTAAAGTTTTATTTTATTTACAAAGCTGTACACCTTCAAGACGCCTTGCAATACCCTGGCCACCGGCAATGACCGTAACCACAGTAACGACCGACACAGCAATGACCGTAACCACAGCAACGAGCGTAGCAACGACCGGCAGACTGACAACTACGACCTCCCGACCCCGCCCGGATCCTTCTACCAGATACCCCGGACGTTCGATAAGAACCACAACGTGACGCCGTCCGGCTCCGAGTCATCCAGTGGACCCCCTCCACGGCCCCCAAAGCCCAGCCAGGGGTCAGAGAGCGGGAGGTGGGGTAGTCCGGGGTCACTGGGGGGGCAGAACAGGCAGAATGGAGATGTGACCACGACTGTTTCGGTTATACCCAGGAGGAACACACTGCCTGCCGTGGAGAACAGCAGGTTACATAGAGGTATGACAACTCTCTCTTTCTTTCTCTCCTCCTCTTTATTTAACTGCTGCCTAAACACTCTCAGAGAACACCAAGTAGAGGTACTGCTTCCATCTTCTTTACCAGCTATTCAACTACATCCTTCCCTTACCAATCATCTATTCCTTACCAACACTCTCTTTCCCTTTACCAACTACATCTCTTTCCCTTTACCAACTACATCTCTTTCCCTTTACCAACTACATCTCTTTCCCTTTACCAACTACATCTCTTTCCCTTCACCAAGCTACTGTCAACTACGTCTCTTTCCCTTCACCAACTACATCTCTTTCCCTTTACCAACTACATCTCTTTCCCTTTACCAACTACGTCCTTTCCCTTTACCAAGCTACTGTCAACTACGTCTCTTTCCCTTCACCAACTACATCTCTTTCCCTTTACCAACTACATCTCTTTCCCTTTACCAACTACATCTCTTTCCCTTTACCAACTACATCTCTTTCCCTTTACCAACTACATCTCTTTCCCTTTACCAACTACATCTCTTTCCCTTTACCAACTACATCTCTTTCCCTTTACCAATCTACTGCCAACTACATCTCTTTCCCTTTACCAATCTACTGCCAACTACATCTCTTTCCCTTTACCAACTACATCTCTTTCCCTTTACCAACTACATCTCTTTCCCTTTACCAATCTACTGCCAACTACCTCGCTATTTAGTAAACTAAGACCCGAAGTCAAATACATCTCTATTCTATTTTTCCCTCCTAGTTCTAGTCTCTCGCTCTTTTTACTGATTTTCCACTGGCAGCTGAGCAGAAACAGAGGTAGTCTGGCAGGCTGGGTTCTGCTCTGTTCTGCTGAGAGGCTAATGAAATTCAAGCCGTGCGTCCGTCTGGTCAGCCTGCCTGCTCTAGAATGCAGTTTTCCAGGCTGATAAACAGGAAAAAATTCAATACAAAAAGGGCACAGAGAGACACAATGCCTGGCCTCACTCTCTCACACAATGCCTGGCCTCACTCTCTCACACAATGCCTGGCCTCGCTCTCTCACACAATGCCTGGCCTCGCTCTCTCTCACGCTCACAATTCCCGGCCTCACTCCTCTCACGCGCTCACAATGCCTGGCCTCGCTCTCTCTCATGCGCTCACAATGCCTGGCCTCGCTCTCTCACACAATGCCTGGCCTCGCTCTCTCACACAATGCCTGGCCTCGCTCTCTCTCACACAATACCCGGCCTCGCTCTCTCTCATACAATGCCTGGCCTCGCTCTCTCACACAATGCCTGGCCTCTCTCTCTCACACAATGCCTGGTCTCGCTCTCTCACACAATGCCTGGCCTCTCTCTCTCACACAATCCTGGCCTCGCTCTCTCACACAATACCCGGCCTCGCTCTCTCTCACGCGCTCACAATGCCTTGTCTCGGTCTCTCATACAATGCCTGATCTCGCTCTCTCTCACAATTCCCGGCCTCGCTCTCTCACACAATGCCTGTCCTCGCTCTCTCACACAAGCCTGGCCTCGCTCTCTCACACAATCCCCGGCCTTGCTCTCTCTCACGCGCTCACAATGCCTGGTCTCGGTCTCTCACACAATGCCTGACCTCGCTCTCTCTCATGCGCACAATGCCTGGCTCTCTCTCTCACACAATGCCTGGTCCTCGCTCTCTCACACAATCCTGATCTCGCTCTCTCTCACGCGCTCACAATGCCTGGTCTCGGTCTCTCATACAATGCCTGATCTCGCTCTCTCTCACAATTCCCGGCCTCGCTCTCTCACACAATGCCTGGCCTCTCTCTCTCACACAATGCCTGGCCTCGCTCTCTCTCACGCGCTCACAATGCCTGGTCTCGGTCTCTCACACAATGCCTGGCCTCGCTCTCTCACACAATCCGGCCTTCTCGCTCTCTCCTCACCGCTCACAATGCCTGTCTCGGTCTCTCACACAATGCCTGACCTCGCTCTCTCTCATGCGCTCACAATGCCTGGCTTCGCTCTCTCACACAATGCCTGATCTCGCTCTCTCACACAATGCCTGGCCTCGCTCTCTCTCACAATGCGTGGCCTCTCAATTCAATTCAATTTCAATTTAAGGGCTTTATTGGCATGGGAAACGTATGTTAACGTTGCCAAAGCAAGTGAAGTAGATAATAAACAAAAATGAAATAAACAATAAATATTAACAGTAAACATTACACTCAGAAGTTTCAAAAGAATAAAGACATTTCAAATGTCATATTATGTCTATATACAGTGTTGTAACAATGTGCAAATAGTTAAAGTACAAAATTGAAAATAAATCAACATAAATATGTGTTGTAAATACAACGGTGTTTGTTCTTCACTGGTTGCCCTTTTCTTGTGGCAACAGGTCACAAATCTTGCTGCTGTGATGGCACACTGTGGTATTTCACCCAATAGATATGGGAGTTTATCAAAATTGGATTTGTTTTCGAATTCATTATTAGTGAGTGGACCCCATACTTAGCTGCCATATAGAGCAATTGGTTCTATAACTGATTGGAACATTTTGAGCCAGATTCTAATTGGAATTTCGATTTTAATGTTCCTTTTAATGGCATAGAATGCTCTACTTGCTTTGTCTCTCAGCTCATTCACAGCCATGTGAAAACTAGCTGTGTTGCTGATATTTAGTCCTTTTTCTGATATTTCCAGACCTTTTTTGGTCTGACAGAATCTGTGCAGATGATCTAGATGCTGCTGTAACCCCTCCTTAGTGGGAGACAGTAGCACCAGGTCATCTGCGTACAGCAGACACTTGATTTCAGTGTTGTGTAGGGTGAGTCCAGGTGCTGCCGATTCTTCTAATGCAGCCCTGTTTCGCTCCACATCCCTGAGAGAAGAAGTCTGTTTGCTTGTTGCCAATATTGACCCCACATTTGTTTTCAGTGTATATTGATTTTATTAACATAATGTTTTCCCTCCAATACCACTTTCTATTAGTTTATAATTCTCTCTCTCTCTCTCTCTGAACACGGTGTGTTCTGCTCCATTTGAGCTAAGCCTGGCCTGTGTGTGTGTGTGTGTGTGTGTGTGTGTGTGTGTGTGTGTGTGTGTGTGTGTGTGTGTGTGTGTGTGTGTGTGTGTGCGTGTGTGCGTGCGTGTGTGTGTTGCTCCGAGCTAGGCCAGACCGAGCGATGGCTGAAACAGGAAGTCAACTTTGACCCCTGTTTCTCTGTGACTACGCCCTCAGTCTGTGCTGCCCACTGCCAGGACTCTCACAGAAAGGGTGCCTCCCAAATTGCACCCCATTCCTTATATAGTGCACTACTTTTGACAAGAGCACTATGGGCCCTGGTCAGAAGTAGTGCACTATATAGGGAATAGAGTGCCATATAGGGAATAGGGTGCCATATAGGGAATAGGGTGCCATATAGGGAATAGGGTGCCATATAGGGAATAGGGTGCCATATAGGGAATAGGGTGCCATATAGGGAATAGGGTGCCATATAGGGAATAGGGTGCCATATAGGGAATAGGGTGCCATATAGGGAATAGGGTGCCATATAGGGAATAGGGTGCCATATAGGGAATAGGGTGCCATGTAGGGAATAGGGTGCCATATAGGGAATAGGGTGCCATTTGTTAAACGCCGCTTGAGCGTTTAATGCATCGCAACGTTTGTTCTGTTTTGGAGCAGGAGCACAAGTTAATTTCAACTGGATAACAGAAATGCCATGTGGGTTTATAGAAACCAAACTCGCCTCTTGTTACGTGATGATGATGAAATTTGACTGTTTTCAATTCAACACGTTGTCCATCAAACACAAAACAGAACATTTTCTTTGAAAATGAGGCGGTCCTGTAGTTCAATATTGATCCTTCTCCTCTCCTCTCCTCTCCTCTCCTCTCCTCTCCTCTCCTCTCCTCTCCTCTCCTCCTCTCCTCTCCTCTCCTCTCCTCTCCTCTCCTCTCCTCCTCCTCTCCTCTCCTCTCCTCTCCTCTCCTCTCCTCTCCCTCCTCCTCTCCTCTCCTCTACCTCTCCTCTACCTCTCCTCTACCTCTCCTCTCCTCTCCTCTACCTCTCCTCTACCTCTCCTCTCCTCACCTCTCTCCCCAGGGTGTTCATTTGAGACCAACAGCCATCACCGTCCGATCTATTTCAACAACCAAGGACAGTCTGTGGAGTCTGTCAACGACGGCTTCAGCTCTTACCTGGTGAGTCTTTCAGATAGATGTTCACAGGAAATACTAAACTGGAATTACCTGGTGAGTCTTTCAGACAGATGTTCACAGGAAATACTAAACTGGAATTGATTGAATTGAGTGCTTAGTTTCCTGGGGCCTTATCAATGTTGAGTACAGACTATTGTAAAATACTACTTACGAACGGAATTAAAAATGTTCGTACGCATAGAAAAAGTGTGATTTATCAAACAATCCTACGGGCCTCATACGCACACCGGATGGAGATAACCTGATAAATACCAATTGTTCTCAGTGCTCGTGCGTGACCTTGGCTGTTTGCATTTCGAAATCATCCTTTTAAAGCCTGTGGCGAATATACAACACCGTACCATGAAATACAACGGCGCAACAACAACAAAAAGCTACGAAAAAAATACAATAATTATGAGACTGAAATTGTTAGTGTCTGAGGTTGAGTTTAATGGTTTTATTTGTCTAAAAATAAAAACATATCTACAAAGAGAGGACCATTAGGACAGTTCAAGTTGATTTAGCAATGGCAAATATACTTCAAATGAGTAGGCAACGCTCTCCAATAAGCCATCCATCCTCAACAGCTGCCTCCTGTAGCATCACATCACCTATCAACCTGCACATTAAGAAAGGAAGACTTTTCTGTTCGGTAGTTGAACTCATTTTGTGCTTTTATGGCGATGAGGGGGCCGCCTATTGCTCCGTGCAAAGAAACCCCTCTTGACTTCAACCTGCTGTGTGAATAGACATTTTATGTAACAGTTTGTTTTGCTGTTGATTCCATCCAAAACACCGGCTCATCGACGGCTGTGAGAGATGCCAATCAGCTGCCGCTGAAAACTGCCCGTTGCCAAACCCCCGAGGAAAGCAGTGGAGTGGCATGTGTTTTTGCCTTTTTAAAGTAGGTCTTAAATCCTCGCAAAAATCCTATACGATTTTGGGAAACGATATCTGATGAGCCAATCTGTACTTTCTGCAAAAAAAGTCCCACCTCTCTCTAAAAACACGCTCTCTGCGAAATGCAGCGTGTGCCAAATATTTCAACAGAGCAAGATCAGCCATCTCTCATTGGATGTCCCATTACCGCAGTCTTTTATAGCATTTACACAATGGTTTACCTTTCACACTAATTTAACGAATTACTTTATATGGATTATGAGCGTAACAAATGCACTGATGTGGTCAAATTGTATGATATAACCTGTCAAGATATGTTGCATGAATTCACAGTACAGTGCCTTGGAAAGTATTCAGACCCCTTGACTTTTTCCACATTTTTGATACGTTACAGCCTTATTCTAAAACTGAATAAATTGTTTGTTTCCCCCTCATCAATCTACCCACAATACCCCATAATGACAAAGCAAAAACAGGTTTTTTTCGAAATGTTTGCTAAAAAAACTGAAATAAAACATTTACATAAGTATTCAGACCCTTTACTCAGTACTTTGTTGAAGCACCTTTGGCAGCGATGACAGCCTCGAGTCTTCTTGGGTATGACGCTACAAGCTTGGCACACCTGTATTTGGGGAGTTTCTCCCATTCTTCTCTGCAGATCCTCTCAAGCTCTGTCAGGTTGGATGGGGAGCGTCGCTGCACAGCTATTTTCTGGTCTGTCCAGAGATGTTCGATCAGGTTTCAAGTCCGGGCTCTGGCTGGGCCACTCAAGGACATTCAGAGACTTGTCCCGAAGCTGTGTGCTTAAGGTCGTTGTCCTGTTGGAAGGGGAACCTTTGCCCCAGTCTGAGGTCCTGAGCGCTCTGGAGCAGGTTTTCATCAAGGATCTCTCTGTACTTTGCTCCTTTCATGTTTGCCTCGATCCTGACTAGTCTCCCAGTCCCTGCCGCTGAAAAACATCCCAACAGCATGATGCTGCCACCACCATGCTTAATTGTATGGATGGTGCCAGGTTTCCTCCAGACGTGACGCTTGGCATTCAGGCCAAAGAGTTCAATCTTGGTTTCATCAGAAAATAGTCTTTAGGTGCCTTTTGGCAAACCAAGCGGGCTGTCATGTGCCTTTTACTGAGGAGTGGCTTCCGTCTGGTCACTCTACCATAAAGGCCTGATTGGTGGAGTGCTGCAGAGATGGTTGTCCTTCTGGAAGGTTCTCCCATCTCCACAGAGGAACTCTAGAGCTCTGTCAGATTGACCATCGGGTTCTTGGTTACCTCCCTGACCAAGGCCCTTCTCCCCCGATTGCTCAGTTTGGCCGGGCGGCCAGCTCTAGGAAGAGTCTTGGTGGTTCCAAACTTCTTCCATTTAAGAATGATGGAGGCCACTGTGTTCTTGGGGACCTTCAATGCTGCAGAAATATTTTCGTACCCTTCCCAAGATCTGTGCCTTGACAGAATCCTGTCTCAGAGCTCTACGGACAATTCCTTCCACCTCATGGCTTGGTTTATGCTCTGACATGCACTGTCAACTGTGGGACCTTACATAGACAGGTATGTGCCTTTCCAAATCATGTCCAATCAATTGAATTTACAACAGGATAAATATCTCAAGGATTATCAATGGAAACAGGATGCACCTGAACTCAATTTCGAGTCTCATAGCAAAGGGTCTGAATACTTATGTAAATAAAGGTATTTCTGTTTCATGTCTAAGATAATCATGTCTAAGATAATCATGTCTAAGATAATCATGTCTAAGATAATCCCCTGCCTGTTTCCTGTCAGAGAACCAAGGACCCTCTGACACGTTCGGACAGCGGTGACTCGGAGGACAACTATGTGCCTATGAACCCAGGCTCGTCTCCCCTCAAAGCCGCCCAGGTGGACAGCCCCAAAAACATTTACATCCCCATGAGCCCCGGGCCGCACCACTTTGACTTCCCAGGGTTCTCAGCCACGGTACCCGCCCGAAAGGGAAGTACCGCCTCACTGTGTCACCGACCGGGGAGGCTGAGTGACGTCACGCCACCACCTATCAACCGCAACCTCAAACCCAACAGGAAACGTGAGTGTCATGCCTCAGTCAATATAAAGGCTTTCTTTGGTCCAGTCGTCATCAGCGTTCTACTCTTTTTTTTGAGACTGTCGTGATACCAAACTGTCCTATTTTGTCATATTATACATTCTCATTGTAATGTATCATATTGTTATTTTGTAACACTTGTTTTTTCTGGTTTCTGTCTAAACCCAACAGCCCTCTACATTTAGATGTAATATGTTTGAGAACAATTAGACGTTTTTTTAGAAGACACTGGAGTTGTTTTGTTTCTTTACATCCTCAGTCAAGCCGACGCCTCTGGATCTGAGGACCAATGGCATCATTGATGAGCTCCCTTTTAAGAGTCCAATCACCATGTCCTGGACCCGACCCATGTGAGTCCCATATCAGTTATACTATCTACCTGACCCATGTGAGTCCCATATCAGTTATACTATCTACCTGACCCATGTCCCATATCAGTTATACTATCTACCTGACCCATGTGAGGCCCATATCAGTTATACTATCTACCCGACCCATGTGAGTCCCATATCAGTTATCCATCCTAGTGGATCCAGACTGCAGCCGCTTAATACTGCAGATTGCAGTCACTCCAGTTAGTAGTTTCAGGGGTGTAAAGGTAGAATAACTCACAAACCTTGTTTTAAAACGATTAGTAGGGAGCACTGCAAGGGTACACTAGAATAAAACATTAACTTACAAGTACATGTTACATCTACTTATCCAGAGTGGCTTTCAGTCAGTGCATTCATCTTAACCCTTGTTTTATGTTCAAAAAGGCTATACACGGTTTGAATATGCTCTTTGGTCACATATCATTATGACGAGGTCCTTTCTCTTCCTTATTGTAGTCACACTCACAGTCCTCTCTCCTCCCAGGTCTGAGGAGTACTGCCATAGGGGTCAGAGTGTGGAGTCACTCACAGTCCTCTCTCTTCTCTCTCCTCCCAGGCCTATGAACTCAGGTGGCATGTCCTCCCAGCACTGCAGACCCATCTCCACCCAGAGTATCACCAGCACTGACTCAGCAGACAGCGAGGAGAACTACGTGGCCATGGTGAGTCCCTACAACAGGACAAATGGCACCCTGTTCCCTATGTAGTTCACTACTTTTGGTCAGGGCCCTGTGGGGAATAGGGTGCCATTTGAGATGCACCCTTACTGAGTTGACATACTGTAGTAGAGGACTTAGGGCTATAAGTAGCACTATATAGGGAACAGGATGCCATTCAGGACTCCAGCTAAGTGTATTATGTTTTGTCTTTGTTTTGATTATTAACTGTTTTCTGACCCATATCAGTTATACTATCTACCTGACCCATGTGAGTCCCAGTGCATTCGGAAAGTATTCAGACCCCGTGACTTTTTCCACATTTTGTTACGTTACAGCCTTATTGTAAAATTGATTAAATTGTTGTTTTTTCCCCTCATCAATCTACACACAATATCCCATAATGACAAAGGAAAATCAGGTTTTTAGATAATACAAAAAAAAAAAAAAATATCACATTTACATAAGTATTCAGACCCTTTACTTAGTACTTTGTTGAAGCACCTTTGGCAGCGATTACAGCCTCAAGTCTTCTTTGGTATGAAGCTACAAGCTTGGCACACCTGTATTTGGGGAGTTTCTCCCATTCTTCTCTGCAGATCCTCTCAAGCTCTGTCAGGTTGGATGGGGAGCGTCGCTGCACAGCTATTTTCAGGTCTCTCCGGAGATGTTCGATCAGGTTCAAGTCCGGGCTCTGGCTGGGCCACTCAAGGACATTCAGAGACCCCGAAGCCACTCCTGCATTGTCTTGACTGTGTGCTTAGGGTCGTTGTCCTGTTGGAAGGTGAACCTTCACCCCAGTCTGAGGTCCTGAGTGCTCTGGAACAGGTTTTCATCAAGGATCTCTCTGTACTTTGCTCTGTTCATCTTTCCCTCGATCCTGACTAGTTTCCCAGTCCCTGCCGATGAAAAACATCCCCACAGCATGATGCTGCCACCACCAGTGCGGTCCTCTGTAGCTCAGCTGGTAGAGCACGGCGCTTGTAACGCCAAGGTAGTGGGTTCGATCCCCGGGACCACACATACACAAAAAAATGTATGCACGCATGACTGTAAGTCGCTTTGGATAAAAGCGTCTGCTAAATGGCATATTATTTATATTATTATTACCATGCTTCATCGTAGGGATGGTGCCAGGTTTCCTCCAGACGTGACGCTTGGCATTCAGGCTAAAGAGTTCAATCTTGGTTTCATCAGACCAGAGAATCTTGTTTCTCATGGTCTGAGAGTCCTTTAGGTGCCTTTTGGCAAACTCCAAGCGGGCTGTCATATGCCTTTTACTGAGGAGTGGCTTCCATCTGGCCACTCTACCATAAAGGCCTGATTGGTGGAGTGCTGCAGAGATGGTTGTCCTTCTGGAAGGTTCTCCCATCTCCACAGAGGAACTCTAGAGCTCTGTCAGAGTGACCATCGGGTTCTTGGTCACCTCCCTGACCAAGGCCCTTCTCCCCCGATTGCTAAGTTTGGCCGGGCGGCCAGCTCTAGGAAGAGTCTTGGTGGTTCCAAACTTCTTCCATTTAAGAATGATGGAGGCCACTGTGTTCTTGGGGACCTTCAATGCTGCAGAAATATTTTCGTACCCTTCCCAAGATCTGTGCCTTGACAGAATCCTGTCTCGGAGCTCTACGGACAATTCCTTCGACCTCATGGCTTGGTTTTTGCTCTGACATGCACTGTTACCTGTCGGACCTTATGTAGACAGGTGTGTGCCTTTCCAAATCATGTACAATTAATTGAATTTACCACATATGGACTCCAATCAAGTTGTAGAAACATCTCAAGGATGATCAATGGAAACAGGATGCACCTGAGCTCAATTTCCAGTCTCATAGCAAAGGGTCTGAATACTTATGTAAATAAGGTATTTCTGTTTTTTTATTTGGTATATATTTACACAAATTTCTAAAAACCTGTTTTCGCTTCGTCATTATGGGGTATTGTGTGTAGAATGATGAGGGAAAATGTTTATTTAATCAATTTTATAATAAGGCTGTAACGTAACAAAATGTGTAAAAAGTCAAGGGGTCTGAATACTGTATAGTGTATTTGTCTTGGTTAATGAGTGTTTTACCTTTGTGTGTGTCTAGAAGAGGGTTACGATAAAGTATCTAAGGTATATCTACAGCCCAGGGTTACCAGGGTTACCAGTAGTTACCAGGGTTACCAGTAGTTACCAGGGTTACCAGTAGTGTGTTTACACGCCCCCCCCCCCCCTCTTCTCTGTCCATCAGCAGAACCCAGCGTCTACCTCCCCAGCAGTGAGTGGTACCAGCAGCCCCGCCCCTAGGAAGTGTGGCAACGTGGACTACCTGGCTCTGGACTTCCAGCCGGGCTCCCCCAGTCCACACAGAAAGGTACACACATAAACACACACACACACACACACACACACACACACAAACACACACACACAAAAACAAACACACACACACACACACACACACACACACACACACAAACACACACACACAAAAACACACAAACACACACACACAAACACACACACACACACACACACACACACACACACACACACAAACACACACACACACACACACACACACACACACACACACACACACACTACCTCCGCCACACTGATCCTCAACACTGGAGCCCCACAGGGGTGCGTGCTCAGCCCCCCCCTTCCAGTACTCCCTGTTCTCTCACGCACGTCTCCAACTCAATCGTCATGTTTGCTGACGACACAACAGGGGGTAGGCTTGATTACTAACAGCAACGAGACAGCCTACAGTGAGGAGGTGGGAGCACTGGCGGATTTGGTGCCAGGACAATAACCTCTTCCCTCAACATCAACAAAACGAAAGGAGCTTATTGTGGACTACAGGAGACAGCATCCACATCGACGGGCTGCAGTGGAGAGGGTCAGAAGCTTCAACTTCCTCGGTGTGCACATCACTGAGGACCTGAAATGGTCCCTTCACACAGACAGTGTGGTGAAGAAGGCACAACAGCTTTGCTCCTAAGACCCTCACAAACAAGACCCTCACAAACTAAACACACTTATTCACTCACTAACACTTGTCTCCATTGTGAAAGATCTTGGTGCCTCAATTAATTAAAAAAAAAGCGTAAAATAACTTTGAGAGAGCATTCTGTCGGGCTGTGTCACCGCAGGGCTCTCCACAGGGTGGTGCGCTCAGCCCAACACCTCATCGGTGGCCCACTGCCTGCCCTCCAGGACATCTACAGAGTCACAGGGAGGCCAAGAAGATCATCAAGTACATCAGCCACCCGAGCCACGGCCTGTTCACCCCGCTACCATCCAGAAGGAGGGGACAGTACAGGTGCATCAAAGCTGATAAACAGCTTCTATCTCCAGCCATCAGACTGTTAAACTGTCACCACTAGCCGGCTTCTGCCCACTAAAGTAAAGGGAAAGGGGGATACCTAGTGAGTTACACAACTGAATGCATTCAATTGAAATGTGTCTTCCGCATTTAACCCAGAGAGGTACGGGGGACTGCCTTAATCGAAGTCCACGTTATCGCCGCCCGGGGAGCAATTGTTGTTTAGGGGTTAACTACCTTGCTCAAGGGCAGAACGGCAGATTTTTCCACCTTGCTGGCTCGGGGATTCGATCCAGCAACCTTTTGGTTGCTGGCCCAACGCTCTTAACCGCCAGTACCCTGCCCTAAACCTTAAACACTGCCGCCCTGTGTATATAGTCATTGAACACTGGTCACTTTAATAATGTTTACATACTGTTTTACCCACTTCATATGTATATACTGTATTCTAGTCATGGTTCATCCTATATAACTTCTGCTGAACACACCTTTTCTATTCATATACTGTCCATAATGTCTATAAACACCATTCATATACAGTACATATATATTTATATTCCAGGCTTTTCTGTCCATTTGCCATGGGGTTTTGTATTGTGTTTCTAAATACTGTATTCTCGAAAAATAGATCATTCTAACATATCTACTGCTGTAAATATCATTCTTAGTATATCTTGTGTAAATTCATCCGGTGTAAATACGTATAGATTGCATCTGGATTACTGATACAGTAATCTATTTAGTGCTATTTGGGTTGTTATTTGTATTTGTTCCGAGATTTCTTAATTTATCAACATTTTAAAGATAATTTAGATTATCTGTGTACTTGTTTGGCATTCTACTGCATTGTTAGGAGCTAGTAACAAAAGCATTTAGCTGCACCCACTATAACATCTGCTAAACGATGTACCTGACCAATAAACAGATTTGAATTTGATTTGACACACCCACATTGACCACCTATCACTGGACTTCCAGGCCGGGCTCCGCCCACCCACACAGACTGGAACACACACCATGTACAGTCATGTTAATCTGTCTAAATGGATCCCTCTGTAAATGTCTTAGCCCCAACACACTAAATAGTAAATACACAAACATTTTGATACACCTGGTCCTTTGCCAGGTTTGTCAGGTTAGACCATTGTTTGTGTATCGCTTAGAGCACAACTAAAGATCGCAGTTACCTCTTTCGTTTGTCTTTTACTTATCCAGTTTCTATGTTCAAATACTCCTCTCCTCTCCTCTCCTCTCCTCTCCTCTCCTCTCCTCTCCTCTCCTCTCCTCTCCTCTCCTCTCCTCTCCTCTCCTCTCCTCTCCTCTCCTCTCCTCTCCTCTCCTCTCCTCTCCTCTCCTCTCCTCTTCACTCCTCTTCTCTTCTCTTCCCCCAGCCCTCTACATCCTCTGTGACATCTGATGAGAAGGTGGACTATGTCCAGGTGGACAAGGAGAAGACGCAGGCCCTCCAGAACACCATGCAGGAGTGGACGGACGTCCGACAGTCCACCGACCCCGCCCCCAAGACCGTGAAGTCCTGACAGTTACCATGAGAAAGACACAGCACTCCGACCTTACCTTATGTCAAGACAAGCATCTCCTAAAGGATTTCACACTGTTACTGACAGAAGTCCGTTTGAGGAGTGAAGGAACATTTATGGGTGGTGGAGACACAGAGTACCTCTGTTGGACAGGTGATGACTAAAATTAGCTGAGGACTGAATTGAGTTGAGGACTGAAATGAGGACTACAATTTGTTGAGGACTGAAATGAGGACTTAGCTGAAAAAGAGCAGACAAAAGGTTAACGCCTAGCTGGGTTCTGTGGTGATCATCCAAACCTAGCTGGGTTCTGTGGTGATCATCCAAACCTAGCTGTGTTCTGTGGTGATCATCCAAACCTAGCTGGGTTCTGTGGTGATCATCCAAACCTAGCTGGGTTCTGTGGTGATCATCCAAACCTAGCTGTGTTCTGTGGTGATCATCCAAACCTAGCTGGGTTCTGTGGTGATCATCCAAACCTAGCTGGGTTCTGTGGTGATCATCCAAACCTAGCTGGGTTCTGTAGTGATCATCCAAACCTAGCTGGGTTCTGTGGTGATCATCAGTGCTGTGTGCAGCAGCCAACGCTTGATGCAGGTGGACAGAGACCCAACCTGAACCTGCCAAAGATCCTAAAGTGACTGTTATAGCAGAATCTGGACTGAAACTGACAGGGGACTTGCCTTCCGAAATACTAACCTGTACAGTTCCTTCTAGGTCTTTCTCTGACTCTGTCAAGCTATGGGGACGACTCTTTTAGTTCTTCTCTACAGCCATTTGAACTGTAACACAACCTTGAGTGTGTTTTCTTCCCGTGTAGCAGGTTAGCTACTGTACATAGCTACTTAAAACTATTTGCTGCCAGTCAAACTGCTATTATCGTCTGACCACCAACAGTCATGAATGTAATCAGGAACATGAGATTATCTTTACAGGGGACTTCGCCTTCTTTTGAAATTCAACCATTCAGCTGCTCCTGTCTAGGTTTTTTCCTGCAGCAGGAGCTTAGTTTTTACATCGACGAAATTAAACACTGAGTACTGTTTTCGTT